TCCTGTATTATCTCTCGTGGTTTGCATGGCAGGTTGTTTGCGCACCCAGCTCACTGTCCCCCACCCCTGTCCTGTGTCCCAGACTCGGATCACCGACTGGCGGGAAGGAGCTCTCAACGGGCACTACCTGCGGAGACGGTTGCAGGAGGCCGCTGAGCACATTAAACATTACGAACTTAACGCCGCCCCTAAAGGCTGGTCCTGCCACTGGGACAGGTACGCGTTCCTTACCTTTCACACCTTACACCCCACCCTCAACCCCCCCGTCGCACCTCAGCTGTGAATTCACCCCCGCCGCCACTAGGGGGTAGACCTGCGGAGCGTTGAAACCATTGACTTTTTAAAATTGGGGATGCGTTAATCTGCAACCGCGAAGTTACGGCCAACAAAGATGTATTGAATGAGTGAGTGGGGGAGGTTTAAAAGGATAAAAAGTGCCCGCCAGCTCTGAGAGACAAAGGCCTCCCCCCTGCCCCGGACTCCGGCTTGGGCCGCGCCACAGAAGGGTACTGTAGCTCTAGGAAGGTGGTTGCGCACGCGAGAGCCTTGCGCTTTTCAGGACGGCCCCCGCCATGGGACGTCGGCTTCCCGGATGAGGCGGGCCACAGCGTCGATTAAATGCGAAGAGGGCCCTCACTCCTGGACGCAGCAGGTCAGACCACTCTATTTCATTGTCTTCTTTTATCTCTGTTCTCTGGTTTCTTTTTGTGGCATTTAAAGTTTCACGTAACCGTTTTTATCTGATTGTGCCTGGTGCTATGAAGAATCGCCATGGTTTGCAGCAGCATGTTTAACCGTTTTAACATGGAAGAAGCCCTTTCTGAGCTCGAAGGGGTTTCTCCGTGAGTATCCCTCTCATCTTCATCCTGAAGACGATGACTTATTGTCTATCCCCCCCCCCCCCAGTCCATCTAATGTGACCAGCAGGGACTTGGCTGGTTCTGTTTGCAAGGCTTTTATGGTCTGTTTTTTGGTGAGATCAAGGTGGGTCGTCCCCATCAGGCCCGCTTCCCAATCTGGCTTTACTCTTGCGCACTGTGGCTGCTCAGTGCAACAAAGAGCCCCCACCCTACTCCAAATGCCCCAGCCCTATTTTCCCATTATTTATTTTTTATTGCGGCCCCTCCCCCCACCCCAGACACTGAGATGGTCTCTCTCTCTGTCTTTCCCCCACTCTAGGGAGCACAGGCGATACTTCTACGTGAATGACCGGACCTCTGCCTCGCAGTGGGACTTCCCAGCAGAGGGTGATGGAGAGGAGAAGATGGGAGAACCTGTGGACGTCCAGGGAGATGCCAAGCCCCCACCAGAGCCCCCTACAGGTCAGACCTTGTCATCTCTGCTTCTCAGTGAATGTTTGCTAGTGGTCACCAACCAGTCAATCGTGTAGCTCTCTGGATTATTGTCTTTAACTGATGTTTTCTTCCAACACTGTCCCTAACGTTCTCTCTTGAATCTTTCAGCCCCCCCTGTGTACACGAGCACCCCCTCATTGCAGACTGGCATGCAGTCTTACTGTACACTACCCCAGCCCCCCCTTCCTCCAGATGACCCCCCTCCCCCCTCAGACTACCCGCCACCTCCACCGCCACCTCCAGAGTCTCCTCCCCCACCCCCTCCACCCCCCCTGAGCGATGACGGAGAGATTGAGGAGGTGGAGATGGAGGACGAGGAGGGTGAGCCCCCAGCCCCAGGGACCGAGGAGGACGGCAGTCGTAAGGCTCCTGCGCCTCCTGGCATGTCGGCCGGAAAGGTACATACACCCTGCCCTGCGTTCTCAAGCCGTTGCATGTTTATACTATTTTTTTTCCTTTTTTAGCAGAAATTGAGTAATTGTGGTTATTTTTCAGTGAGGGGAAAAAAATTTAAATGTGCCAAATCTGAAGCATGTGCACTTTAACAGAAAGCAGCCCTTACACTGCGGGCCCTCTGTTCACATTGCTCTTCATCATGTGGGCTTTGCTGTGTTCAATTCATACCGCTATCCAAACCACCTGCTAGCTGGGCTCGTCTGTGAGCTCGTCTGTGAGCACTGAGGCATCGTGTTGATGGGCAGCCCGCTCTCGTTTCCCCACTTCAGGGTGGCGAGTCGGCGTCCTCCCCTGGCATGCCAACCAAGGCCCCTAAGCGCAAGGCGGCTGGCTCTGGCCAGCCGCACAAGGCGGTCACCATCGGAAGCAGCCCCATCCTGTACAGCCAGGCCACCGCCATGGCAGGTGAGCAGGGCATGTCTCCATGGCAATGTAGGGCGGCTGGGTCGGGTCTGAGTGGTGGAGTCTGGCCATTGTGCAGCTTATCAATTCCTGCATCCAATGGAGGGACAGAGTGTCTCTGTTCTCCAGCAGTTCCTGGGATCTCTGCCCCAGCTTACTGGAGTATGGTGGCCAGTGCACCCCCCCAGCCCCCGGCGGAAACGACAGCCCTCCCTGTGGTGGCACCCCCCTCCCAGCCTGCGCCTCCCAGTGCCCCCCAGGACCCTGTGCCTGGGAAGGTGGTGCCTGTGGACAAAGTGAAAAAGCTGAAGAAAGACAAGGTGTGGAGAGTGGCATTGCCATGGCAACCTGATGAGCATGGTGACGTGTTAATGGCTTACTGTGCGGATGTGTGTGTGTGTGTGTGTGTGTTCCCCGCAAAGACAAAGAAAAGCAAGACGAAGATGCCATCTCTGGTGAAGAAGTGGCAGAGCATCCAGCGCGAGCTTGACGAGGAGGAGAAGTCCAGCTCCAGCGATGAGGACCGGGATCAAGTGAACAGCAAGCGTATTGAAGAGTGGAAGCAGCAGCAGCTGACCAGGTATGACACCCCCCCCAGTATGTTGGCCCAGCTCTTAGGGGCACTGGTGTGTGTGGGTGTGTGTGTGTGTGTGTGTGGGTGTGTGTGTGTGTGTGTGTGTGTGTGTGTGTGTGTGTGTGTGTGTGTGTGTGTGAGAGAATACTTATGGCACCTGTCTCCAACAATGATTTTAAGATTCACCCCCTTCCCTCGGCCCCACAGTGGTAAATCAGTCAAAAATGCCAACTTCGAGGCCCTACCAGACGACTGGAGGGAACGTCTGCTGAAGAAGAGGAAGATGATGCACAGCACGTAGCGACTGATTGGCTGGGGGTGGGGCTCTGGCCAGCCATACTCTGTCCCCCTTGGCCATAGACCTGCGTCCTTCCAGCAGGCCTGGGGTCATTTTTGTGCTGTGGGGGGTAGGGTTTTCAGCAGTCCTGTTTTCACTTGCCGTCTTCTAATCTTCAGGTAACACAGTTTGGTCAAAAGCTGTTACGTCACTTATTTCCAGCTTATTTTCCCATAGCTGACTGGCTTCTCAATGTCCCTTGTCTTGTGCCTGGATACATCGCAGGCAAAGCGTTCACATGGGTGTTCCTTTACCCTGCTTCTGTTCATCATTTAGAACAACTCTTACATTGGACAATGTATCGATTCAGTCTTATGTCAGTGACTGCTGAGTGGTGTATGACTGACGGGTGGGAATGTTGGGGTGCATCCTAATGGAAATGTCAGCCCCTTATTTGGGACAGCCCTCTGACTTTTTATTTATTTTTGCTTTTTTTTAAAAAAAAAAAAATAGTGTTAAATGTGTTTTTCAAATGGTGGCACCATATCAGACGTGCCAAGGAATGTACCACTGCCTCTCTCCAGGGGCAAATCCATTAAAGACATCATATTAAAGCCCTGCCCTCATTTCTACACTGAGACTGCCATCTTTTACCAATTGGGAAGCACCACACCAAGACTGGAAGCGTAAAACTTCCTAGGGTTCTTATGTTTTTACCTCTTTTTTTTTTTGTTGCAATTTGGAGATGCAAATGTTTTGTATATGTATGTAAATAGTGATTAAACATTTTTTCAACTTGATTCATCACATTGTAATAGCATAGGTTTTGTCTGAATGTTTTCTCCTGCAGTTCGAAAACATGAACTTAATCAAGTTACTCTACTGAATTGCCCATGATTGGTCTCTACACAGTGCTCTCTGGGACAGACTCAGGCCCCTTCTCAACCATGTACTGGAGTGGCTGAAAGATGGATTGGAGGATGGTTTGTTTTACTGTTTTCAGAGCAGAAAACATGTTTAGATTTTTCTTATTTAGTATGGCATGATGAGATTACAGGAGGAACCAGAATGGAGGCATCTTTCTGCAACCATCAGTTCTGTAAATTCATACATACTTTTAGGTCATAGTATGTCAAACATCAAATGGTTCCATGGTACGTACATACCGATGACTTCTCACTATATGTGCTTGTGACACCTTTTACTCAAAACTGAATAAATATGTACTCAACATTGTTTCAAGTAAAACATAATGCTTGAGTACACAAAAATGTTCGATTAATCCAGGATGACCATAGGTCCTTTTTTCGCGGAGTTAGAATTGCGGCCTATTCCTTTGTTTCATGTTTAATTTTCATTCAACAGTCAGAATAGTTTGTATGTATACATTTTCATTTCTTTACTGCTTCTACGTCCGACCTCTAGTGTCATCGTTTTGAAAACTAAAATACGGGCACCCTGTAAATACAAATGGTATAGCAACGTAGCGGATCTTGCATTTAATCGCGCTTTTATTTGCTTTTCTTACTTTATTGCATTACAAGGACGCACTCTGTTCATGAAATGAGAAATAAAAACGAATTTGTGTAGATAGTGTTTGAATCTGTCCAGGATACGCGATTGGAGGACGGATGCATGGGTGAACGGTTTGTAACCTACCAACCGGTCCGGCAGTTAATTACTAAATCGACTATCAAATCGCACAATGTCCATGTCATGGTTAGTTCTAAGATCTATACTTTAGGTATAAGGTAGTGAATTCTACCGATCTTATGTTTAATTTATTTTTATTGAGGAAAATACAATAACAACACTGGAATTACACTACGGAATCTCGGATTGCCAAGATCACGCCATGATATGTAACTAGTACGTTACTGCATTCTAGTCCTGTGTCATGTGACAAACTATTGACCAATAAGAGTAAAGTTCAAAGTTCGCGCACAGCAGGATTCTTTCCGTTCACTTTCCCATCCTAAATGAAGAAGGAAGGAGCAGTTTAATAATGGCGGACACGTGTGGACAGGTGGTGCTAGGAACCGGGCTTACGGTTCTTTCCCACCCGCTTATGTACATTAAAGTACTAGTGCAGGTAAGTGATATAACTAGACAAATGAAACAAGTGTTTTTTAAGGAAATATTCAGCTCCTAGTCTCATGTCTCTAGCGACAGAATGTTAGTGAAAATACAGTTATTTTATCGTAAATTAAACAATTATTTTCACTCTCGGTGTGCATGCGATTAGCTTTCAAAAATTTGTATTTGGCGATAAGGCAATTTGTTAGTTTGCTATGTAAGTAGGAACCAGCGATTAGCGGATTGTCTGATTTAGTTTCTATAGTTCCCTATCATAATGGGAATCAATTCTTCGTGTCAGTGGTTGAAAAAGTTGTGTGTCAACCATGTAGTTTGGTGCGGTGCTGCTGGTGAAGACATGAGCTCGCGTGTGTCCGCGCGATGGCTATCGCCCCACTGACGTCAAAAAGGTCACGGACGAGTTCGTCCTGTGTCTACATTCTCGTCGTCAGCCTCCGCGCATGCGTTGTCTATTAATACTATTTCTTAATTATAATCTTTATTAAATAAACGCGAGCAGTTTTTTCAAAACAATTCCTCGATTTGTCATTGAAACACGGCCCGGGCCAGCTGGCTGTCGAGCAGGTTGTTGGGAGGAAGGGCGTCCTTTAGCCTAGTGGGCAGCACCCCTGGCGAGCGATAACTTTCCCCCAGTTTTATGACTTGACGAGTTTTAAGTCATTATTTTGCCTCTGCTAAGCCTGACATGTTACTATATGTTTTAAAAACACTGAAAATGCGCCCCTCTGCGCAGGGTTATGATAAATAACTTTTCAGTGACGTTAAAATGTTTGTCTGTGAAATCATATGGAGACAGGAGGATGTAATCTAACAATAGTTTTTGTTGTTTTAGTTGTAATGCGAGTTAAAATGTCATTTCCTTGTAAATATTCATGACTGTCAAGGACATACCAGAACTGGTGCGTCTGCCTTGATCAGCGCATATTCTACCGTAATAAATAATGAAAATATGTAATCAGCCAGAAAGTCTTATGTTTAAAGGAGTTTTATGACACCTTATTGATCCCTGTGGGAAAATTCTCTTTTTGCCTACCCTATCTTACTCTCCATGATACACAGACACAAATGCAGATGAGAGCAAGCTTGGCAGTGAAGGGCAGCCACCTGCAGTGGCACCCATGGAGTTTGGGGGTTAAGGGCCTTGCTTAAGGACCTATGGACACTACTGTTCTGCTAAGGCTGGGGTCAAACCTGCAACCTTCTGATCCCAGGCACAGAGGCTTATCCCGCTGAGCCACACGCTGCCCCCGTACACATTTTTTTACATGTTTTACATATTTGTATGCAAAGTATTTAAACAAAGTTTGAGTGGGTGTTCCTGAGGGCAGAGTAGAATTAAAGAGTAAAGTGTGCTTCCAGAACATGTGAGGAGTAGCTCCCTGCTTTAGTTCAGTCACTGGCTTGCAAGCTGCTTAAGGTCACCCAACCTTCCTAGTAATGAGAGTACAGACATGCGGTGTCTCTGCGGTGGCACTAGTGCATGGTTGCCCTCTGGAGCCTTTAAAAGGAACTGTGCTGCCAGTACTGTTGCTCAACTCGACGACTCACTTGTTCACTTCTGTAAAAGTCTCCTCAGACAACCATCTCATCGAGAGTGCTGCATTTGTAGCCACAGACTCAGAATAAGAAGCTAAAGTAGTTAATGTGAACAGCTAATGGCTAAATGCTATTGTGCATAGCTGGGTGACCCCTGCCTTGTGCCCTGTGTTCCTTGCAACTGGCTCCAGGTTCTCATTGACTCTGTTGGAGATGGATGGGTGGATTTAGTTTTGTTGTTTTGGAAATAAAATCTCCTGAAATGTTGCTAGAGCTGTTAAGTTGATTTTGCTTTTCAGGTTGGGCATGAACCTCTCCCCCCCACGACTGGAAGGAATATATTTGGCAGGCAGGTGAACCAGCTCCCCGGGCTTTTTGCATATGGTATGACCAAGTTGCAAAGTGACCATGTTGCACCACTTTGTAATGTCGCTGTTAACTTCCAGGACACAACCCCGTGTGTAATCTCCATCTTGGTGTATGGGTGCCAGTCTTTTGTTGACTAAGAATATCTCTGGAAGTGGGAGGGGATCTGTGTGGGGGGGTGGGATAGATCCACACCTTCAGCAGTGTTTGCTTGTGTGCATGCAGAACCAAGCAATGGTCTCCTCTCCCTGACTGCACTGTGTCTGTCTCGCTTTCCAGCAAAGTACATAATGAAAGTGGATGGGAAGGCGGGGCTCTTCAAAGGCCTCGTGCCCCGGCTCTGTGCTGGGACTGTCGGCACCGTAGTCCACAGCAGAGTCCTGCAGGTGAGCACTTTAAACAGTTCCAATGGTGCGTTATTTAATTAAATTAATCTATACTATTAACTCCATTCTTGTCGTGAGTTTGGACAGATGAAGAAGGCTTCGTTTTTGTCTAGCTAGTTTCCATGTAGTTGACTCCTTACTGTGCACTCACACTGAGAGCGTCGGAGTGACTGGATGTCGTTAATTCTCTATGGGATGGCACAAGGGCAATCAAAAAGCAAAGAGCATCAAAATGAAGTTGAAGCCCGGTCAACTCGGTGGCAACCAGTCGGAAAGTAGAAATTCTCTGCTAGAGAGTTCCACAGAACACAAGCGTGTAAACTTTTGTTCCTACCAAACAGTTCCCGTGCACCTTCAGAGTATAAACCATGAGACAGAATTCATCTCCACATGGCATTTTACCCTCTAGACATGGTAAATTACACATTTAAAAAAACCCATGTAGACATAAATTTTTATATTGCGTTAACATGGTATAAATGTACCTGTTAGAAAAGTCTTTCAGTGCTGAGATGTACTAAGCTAATACTTTTCCATTCAATGGCAAAGGTTTCAGTCTGTAGTGCATTATATTTATTGCCGTATTATAATATTTGGGTTTTTAATCATAGCCATTGAAATAAAAATTTAGTGAAAATTTCAACAAAGAGGTTCATTTTCAATTTGCTAGCTTTCAATTTAAATACTAACATGGATGCTTTTGACAAGCATTGGTGTAGCTTGCAAACCCTACAGACTATTTACAAGGTCATAAAACTGTTAAGTACATGTGTATGTAAGTGCAGACTTGTTTCGAACTGAAAATCTCACGCAAGCCAGCTGACCAAAGTTGGCAACGTTGTTAGCTGGCTTTCTGAATTTGGCTACTTACACAAACATCACTGCTGTGGTACGTGTGCAGGGAATATCAGAATAATTCATATTAATAAAATAAAAATAACATGTTGTGTGCTTGTGCAAAGTATGCGGCTTGACTGGATAACTATGAACGTTTCCGTCTACGCATATGCAGGGTGGATACTTGAGTGTTTAACTTGTGCGGAGAAGTATGAACCAGGCTGAACGCAGAAAACGCCTGGTGGCCATGATGCGTGTGCATATGCGTTGAGTGTCAAGTATAAATCAGCCCATATGCCAGAGTGTGTCTCCAGTGTTTGCTAGCTTCGTGCGCTGGGCAGCCAGAGCGATCGCTGACGCTCTTTCCGCCTGTGGTATGAACGTACGATTAAGTTACATGGGGCCAAAGAGCTGCAATATCATTAAGCAATACATATTTTTGTCAGAATATAAATTATACATTTTGGACGGCTTTGTTCATTTAGAAGGGGGTGTATATTTAAACTGCAACTGTTTGCTGCAAGCCTGTATGTCCTGTGTGGTGTTACAATCAGCCAGGTTAAGTTAAACTTTAGCACAGGTTAGGGCTGGGCAGTTCATTGAAAATTAATCAAAACCGACATTCAGAATCTCTAATCAGCATAATCTTGCCCATGTCTGTTGCTTCATTTTTTATTATTTTTAAAAAATTTAATTCTGTTAATGTCTTCCCCAATGTGTGGTCATGTACGCCCCTTTAAAAACATACTATCATGCGTGTTGTCATGTGACTCGCCCCAGTCTGCCACACGGAAGCAACATGGAGGAGAACTCAAACACCGAGTCAACTGAGCAACTCCAGCAGCTTGTACGAAGGAAAAATGCTGTGTCTGTCGTTTGGACACATTGTGGCTTTAGGGAATACAATACTGAATTAAAAGCGGGCAAATGTAAACACTGCAGAAAAACAGTGTGAGCTGCCAAAGGTAATGCCACCAATCGGTTTCAACATTAGCAATATTTAAAATACAGTGGAAACAGCTTAAGCTTGGGACAGAATCATTCCTGTACAAATACTGTTTAAATAATTTGCTTATAGTAACCAAGTAGTCTGCTTACCGTTTTAATTTTGGGTCTTTTTATACATGACATGGAACAAATTAAAACTACAGTAATTCTTTTTTACTTGCCTACTTTGCCTTGTGGTAACCCATCTGCTTCGGTCTAGCTAGGCTCCCTGAAGCTAATACTACATGCACCGAACACTTGATGGGGAAAAAGAAAGTAATTTTCCCTCAGTTACGAATATAGACTCATCAAAGTTTATTATAAACTGCTAAAAATGAGCTAACAAAATGTGACCTTTTTCACAAGACGTTTCCATTTCAAGCGATTTGTGCTTTGATTTCAGTTGTTCAAAATATTCAATGAATAACCATAGATGGTTCGTGTGTGTTTCCTTCAATTATTTTAAAATCATGAAGATGTACAGTCTTTCATTAGAAAAAATATCCCAGCTTTAATAGTTGAGCATATTTACAGTACAAACTTTGTCAATGATATGAGGGCAGAAAAATAATACTAGTTTGTTAATCATAATCGAGGTAAAATGTTCAATTAATCGTGATATTGATTTGAGATCATGACACCTACCCCTAGCACAGGTGTCCGCGTATACTGACCCAAGCGTGTGCTTGCAGGGTCCACATCTGTGTGACAGGTAGCTGCCCTCTGCTTTCCACTGACAGTGACAAGTACTACTTGCTGCTAAACTGGGAAGCTGTATTTTGACTTTTACAATAGTCAAATTTTTGATACTTAACATTTTTTTCTATCATTCTGGTGTAGTGGCAGTTTTACTGCAGTGCTGGTATACCACAATATTCATGCATGTGACACACAGAAATTTTGAATCATGACCTATAAATTCCCCAGCTGCCATAGATTACCCAGACATAGCTGGTATCGCTGGTAACATTGGCCTATATCCTGCCATGTGGAAGAGTGTTAAGGTGGCACAAGGGAAATCATACAATGGCACTTTTTCTAATAATCAGTCCATGTAAGTTGTTTTGGTGTAACTGTAATAGCATTCGAATTGGTTTGTTTGAATTGGTTAGTTTTAAATTATTATACATGTATTGACTTTGAGCCTGCTTGTGTTCGTTCTTAAGTTAATGATCACCTGGCAAGTCCTTGTTGCGTACTAACCTCTCTGCTCTCT